GAAGACAGGCTTTCATTCCAGGCCACCTTTGTCACTGACTAGCTGCGGGACTTTGACCTCTCTGGGCTTCATCTACTTCATTTGTTAAATGTCCTAAAGTCGTTGTCCTGACCCTTTTGACTTTCAAATTCTGTGGTTATCTTCTATGACTATTTTGCATTGAGTAGAAATAATTCATACTGTTGCTCATTGGTGCAATGGTATATGATGAAAGACTGTTCTATTAGTACAGAAACAAATGACAGGATGAGGTGATTGGATTTAGGATGGGAAAGCAAGGAATAGTATAGGACTGGGGTCGGAGTGCCCCAAATGGAAGTGGATATTCACATTCTCCTTTGGAAGGGGAAGTAGTGAAGTTTTACAGATACTTCTGCAATCTTTGGAAGATGTTTTCAGTGAGAGAAATCTTCATTTACAAATCTAAAGACTAACAGTAGGACAAAATTAAATTCTATTAAATTATTTGGTATTCTTCTGTTCCTGGATTCTTTTCCTGCGTTGAGTTTTAATGGAGTGGTAATTTTTTAAAATTGTTTGAGCTTATGGAAGTATTGAATAAAAAGCTAAGTTTGTCACAATGACATCACTTTCATAGATTAAAAACTAAAAGATATATATGACTTAAAGAAAAGCCAGATCATTTATTGAACATAATTTAGAATTCAGCATAAAAATCTGCTGAGCAATTGTATTTATGTAAAATATCAGTATATAAATAGGACCATTTAATCAAATTACCTAATGTATCCAAATCTGAAAAACCATTTGGATAGAATATGTTAGAAAGTATTTTAAAACCATGGACATCCTGTGAGGTTTAAAAATTAGGGGAATAGATTACGGGAGATCAAACCACTCCAGATATTTTAGATATCTTAACATTGTAAAGAAAATTCACTAAAATATGGTTTTCATTAAAAATACGGAAAGGAAAACAATGAGTCCTACTGTGGGTCGGATGCCAATACGATGTTTTTTCATTGTTTCTTCAAAGCACTCTTGAGATTTGGGCATTATCCACACACACAGATGTAGAAACTGAGGATTTGTCTAAAAATTAAATGGCAATTAAATGGTAGGGGTGGAATTTTGGTTCACGTTTGCATTATTTTTAACCCTGTACCACACACGGTGCCACTGTAGAGGTGGTGTCTGTGATTTTCTTGACTTCCTCAAGATCTTATTCTTTTCTGATCCTGAGAAACTTCTAGAGAAGGAGCATATTTAAAAAAAATAGAGCTCAGATAAATTAAGAGTGTATAGGTGTCTTTCATTACCAGCCTTGCCCACCCAAACACACGGTCTATGATCTCAACCACCTAACTCAATAATTAAGAATGGCATGGGAGCTATAGAAACGAGAAAGGTAGTGATCGCCGAGTCATCTGTGTGACGCTGTGGCATTCCATTCTGTCAAAGCTCCACTTCTGTCCCCTCTCTTAGCACAGTGAAGGGGAGAGTCTGCGAAAGAGATGACATAAATGTCTTCTGATATTTGAATACCCCATGTGGTCTTGTTTATTATCAGATATCTACAAATGCGATACGCTCATTTGGATTGTTCTTTTTCTCACTAGCATCATGTATGAAATTAGTAAGAAACCACTCTTGTCACAGAGAATATTCCTGACCTCTTGGATCCTGTGTTGTTAACGATTAATATAAATATGGTCTCCCATGAGCAGCCTCTAATCATTGCTATGTTTGTGCGGGGTCATTAGGCTACTGTGAAGGACTATTTTAATGTCCTCTGAGTGGGCTTAAGCAGTCATTTAAGAAATTTAGTGCATAGGGACCTGGTCTTCTGAGCCCCTTTGTCAGGTGGTTTAAAAAGCACTTTACACCTTAAAATTAAATATCAGGACTACATGAGTTTCTTTCTGCTTATTTTATGCCCACCACAGTCTTATCAGCTGTATGTTTTGAACCAAATGGTGTACATTCTGCTAAATTAAGAATTTTAATAGGAATCTTCTACTCTAGTTGAATGCCTTGCTTTACTGCAGGCCAGCTGAAAGCCAGAGGAATTGATTTAGTAAGTGGCAGCCAGCTGTGAGTGTCACATTTATTTAATTTAGAATAAACATGACAGTGAAAAAAAGTTTCTTTTTTAACTATGTAAGGCAATAAATATTAATGGGACTTATTGTGGTAATAATTTTGCAGTGTGTACAAATATCAAATCATTTTGTTGTACCCCTGAAACTAATATAATGTTACATGTCAATTATACCTTAATTTTAAAAAGAAAAGAATTGTAATAATAAGAGACTTAAAAAAATAAACTTGACAGTGAAGAGCTATTCCCCTAGGGGCCCACTAGGATGGGTGTGTGTATCCCGTGGAGTTGCAAAGGGCGGGGGTTTACCTATCTAATAGGACATAAAATGCGGTGAGTTAGCCGTAGCTCGTTGCTTTCCAGCTGAGGCTGCTCGTCTACTGCTCAATAGGTTCTGGTTAGTCCCTCATTCATAAAGCTTCTACTCTGCACGTAGTTATTTACAGGTGTTGTCCTGACAGGAGACTAAAGAATCTTCGTAAAATTACTGCCCATATTTCAAGAGACTGCAGTCACCACCATTTTCATCGTCATGTGTTTTTTTGATCACCATCACTATTATTATTGCATTAACACTTATTATTTATTATATGCTACGCACTGGGTTAAGTGCTTTACTTGCATTAGCTTATTTAATCTCTGTAATGGTCTTATAAAGTAAATGCTATTATTATCTCCATTTACAAGTGAGGAAACTGGGATTCAGGTTCATCATATATTTGTCCAGTCATACAGTGAGTAGGTGATAGAGCTGGGAAGAATCCAGGGCTGATGTTGGAACCCACACTGTTGGTCACTGTTGTCCTGCCCATTATTTTGCTCAATCAAATTGTTTAAATCAAAGAGCTAGGTGTGTTCCATAGATGTTATGAGAATATTTAGTACCTATTTACCCTCGACCCCTGTCTTATATCGACAGAAACACCGTAATTTGCATGTGTGTGTTTAAACAAATTGCTTATTCGTACTATGATTTTGTGAAGATGCTCTAAGTCTATCACTAAACACCACAGCCTCAGTCAAGTTCAGCAGCAACCTATAGAGAAGTTCAGTTGTCCTCATGGCTGTGAAATGAAGGAAGTCAGTCAATAGTGTGTATTTAGTTTCTGTGATACTAAATAGGTCACTCTTGGATAACAATACCTGTAAAAATGCAACCCCGTGGAATTCAGTAATATGCCAGGCCATTTGAGAACTACGTCTCTTCCTTCTTCCTGCCATTCTAAAACAAAATGTAATAAAGGAAATTGGAAAGATAATATTCAAATGTGATATCCATCATCAATAATTTAGATGACAGTTTCTTCATTCGAAGGAGGTAGTTTGTACAGTCTGTGATCAAAACCTGCAGAATTTTTTGCCACATGTGTTCATGGCTTTAAAACATCAGTTCAGGCATCTAATAGTGCTGAGCTCTCCTGGTACCTGAATGCTCACTGAAGTGAACAGAGTAGCTGACTGCCAAGTTTAGACGTGGAGAATTCTGGGTGAAGCAACTGGAAGGACTAACGAGGAAGAGAGTAAGTAACACCTTATGTGGTTTGAAATAATTCCAAACTTATAGGTTGCAAGAATAATACAAAAACTCCCATCTGTACTTCACCCAAATTCACCATTTTTAATATTTTGCCACATTTATTGTATCTTTTCTGAACTGTGTGAGAGTAAGAATCACACATCATGTCTTTTTTTTAGACCTTTCTTCTGTAGTGTATATTTCCTAGGAATAGGCATATTCTTAATCACAGTATAGTTACGAAATTTGAGAAATTTAGCATTGAAACGGTACTGTTACCTATCCTAACATCCATATTTAAATGTTTTCAGTTATCCCAATAATGTCCCTTAATAGCACTTTTCCGCTTTAGGACAGGATCTAGTCCATGATCATATGTTACATGTGATTGGCATGCTCTCTTTTAATTGAGAACCGTTCCTCGGCCTTTCTTTCTCATTGATGAAATTGTTACATAGGCCACTTTAAAAAAAATAGGATGTTCCTTATTTGGGGGTTTTCTGATGTTTCCTCATGATCATATTCAGATTGTCTGTCCCTATCTGGCGTATGACAAAAATGACAGTGTGTCTTTTTCAGGGTATTACACCCAAGGCACTCTCATTGGTGATTAATTTTGGTCACCTAGTTAAGGTGCTGTCTAGTTTCTCCACTGTATTGTTACTGTTTTCCCCTGGAAAACCAAATAAGCTTTGTTTTCAAACATTTCCAGTCTTTGGGGATACAAATAAAACTAAGTGTTGATAATTGAGAATCCAGATGTATAGTTCTTTCGAGTGTCAAAATACCTTGATGATAAGTCCTAAAATCATGGAATTTTGTAGTGGATAGGGGCTTTGGAATTGACAAATATGTGTGATTTCAAAATTTTAATAGACTATCTTTTAAGAGCAATTTTAGATTCACAGCAAAATTGAGCTTATGAAATACAAGTTCCCATATACCTCTCCTCCCCCTCCCCCACACACAGATCCCCTACTGTCAACACCCCACCAGAGTGGGCCATTTGATATAACTGATGAACCAACATTAAAACGTCATTAATACCCAGATAACTCAAGGTTTCCTCTTCTTTATCTTGACTTTTCTGTTCTGTAAAGCTTTTGTTATGTGTTTGTGTGTCTCTGACAGCCATTTGTTTGTTGATGCTTACAAAATCCGACAGCTTGGAGGTTTTTGTACCTAAGGCTTCACAATCTTAGATTGACTTTTCAGAGTCCACAATTTACATTAGGCTTCACTCTTGGTGTTATACGTTCCAGATGTTTTTTAAAAGTCAATTTAGAGTGTACCTTTGCTACACTCAAAGTATTCGGGGCTGTTATTTTTCTATGTTCTTTTATGAGGAATACATCTCACTGTATCTTGTTTTTGCGTATGCCTCTTCCTTTATTCCTTTTTATAATGATTATATCTTTATAGTTTACTTCACTTTAAGGTCAGCTTTCAATACCATATCAACGGAGAAAGAGAAACTGAAGCAGCTGATGGATCAGGATGTCTCTTCCTCCCCCTCCGCCCAGGTGGTTGGGCTGAAGCATGCCCTGTCATCCGTAAGTTACATGTCTGTGTCACAGAACTGTCTGTCAGCCTATCCAGGCTCATGCAGATTTTATATTTTCCACCTCCATGGCTGTGTCGAAAATTCATGAGAAAACCAAACAAATCATCCGAAGTATATTCCAACCTTTCATCAGATCTGCTCATTCTAAAGATCAAAAGTGAGCCTACTGCAAATCTTAGTAGCTAGTATTTCATGGAGCATTAGATACTTCCTGTTTGGTTTCCTCTTCCTTATCTTGATTTTTCTGTTCTGTAAAGCTTCTGTTGTGTGTGACAGACATCTGTCTGTTTGTGCTTACAAAATCTGACAGTTTGGATATTTCTGTACCTAAGACTCCGTAAGCTTAGATCGACTTTCCAAATGACAGGCAGGAGAGCCACGTTTTAAATTCGCACTCTCATCTTCTCAGCTGCACTGCACTGATCCTATTTACCACTCTCCCAAAGACCTGGACTTGATTTGATTTGATTTGATAGCACAAAACATTTAGCTGCCCCCCACCCATGGGCAGGCAGAGATGAGTCATACAGAGTGTCAGATAATTGCTCTGCTTTTGTAACAATGAGAAAATCCCTGTGGAGCCTCAGATGTTTTTCAGTAAGCCATTCTGTCATTCACTCTTCCTCCTTTTTTTTCCGGTTCCACTGTATTCCTCAGAAGAGTCGGGCTCCATTGAAGTACAGTGCCCTAGAACTCTACTTTGAATAGCCGCTGTTGTCTGGTTACTCACTCTGTATCTATCCAAAAGGTGGAGAACCTTAAAATGTACTTATTTGTTCCTCTTCTTTGCTTATACTTTGTAATTCCTACAGTAAAAGGAGAATCTAAAATTACCATCTGAAGCAATATTAAACTTTCTATTTAGGATCAGGTGGTGGAGGTGAATTTTTGAATATTGTTTTCAGAAGCCAACTGAGGCATTGAGAGAACTGGAAAATATCCATTCACGTTTTCTGTCATCACGTTACTGAGAAGAGTAAAGTCATGCTCTTGGGGTAACGTTAATGGCAAACACATCACCAGTAGTACATATCATCGTTGTAAACTACTTCGGTTTAACGTTCCAAGTTCAGTTGAACATTCCAAGTACATTATTTTTAAAAGAAATAAGAAATAATGTGGACTGACTCCATGTATAGAGTCTTAATGTTGTCTGCCCCGAGGAGCTTCAGATTCTTCAAGGTCAGAGATAGAAACACCCTTTTTCTGATTATAGTAGACAGCCAGATGCACACTGGCTGCTACTTTGGTTTGAAAGAAGCAAGGCGTTGTTTTTTTTTTAAAGTTTATTTTTTGGTGGTAAAAAGCATTTCTCATTGTTCCCAGTAGGTTGGCTTTCAGTACATTTAGAAGGTATGCAGTCTTCTGGGGTCCCAAAAGTCCCTTTCATTGTGGTCTTTCCGCCCCCTGCCCTCTTCCCATGGAGGTCTGGCCTCCTCTAGTTAATCTGCCTGTCTGGTTGAGGCCACTGAGACGCATTTGGCCAAGGTTTCCTTAAATTGTTGTTACCTTCGCAAAGGAATTCATTCTCACCTACGTTTAGGCTTTTGGAAACAAGATACACCAGAACGATCCTTTATTTCCTTTTTGTCTTGGATGCCCGATCACATTCAAGACTTTTTTTTTTTTTTAATTAAAATGTTAGGGTCATCTCAGGGTTATCAGAATGAATATGTTTGTGTCGTATGTGCAGTCTGGGTTTTTTTCTTTTGCCCGTGGCTTGCAAAGGAAAAAGAAGCTACTAAAATAATACATTTTGGGGGCCGTATTAAGATTCTAACCACTGGTATAGATAGATGCTAGCCATTTATACTAAGATACCAGTGCCATATTGTCCAGAATAAATTAAGTGTAGAGATTGTTACTATTGTTTTCTATATTTAAGAAACATGTACTCAGTGTTTCCTAAATGATTATGAAGAATTTCCAAATAACCCATATTCCATCCATGGGTGCTAACAAATAAAGCCAACATTCTTGTTTGGGATCCAGGCCTTGGATTAGACAGTGCCACATCTGCCTATGTTCTCAGCAGGTAGACCCTGTGGGCCCTGATGAGTGGAAAAATCTCTGAGCTTCTTGGAAGAGAGTCAGGAAGGTAGACAGGATGGATCGTACAAGCACCCAGAGTGTCTGGGGACACAATCAGGTGAACTTGGTATCTTTCCAAAGACCGATCGTTTGAAGAACAGTTGGTCATGAAACATGCAGATTATTAGCGTGAAGGAGACACCTTCCTTTACCATCAAGCCTGTTCCTTCCTAGTTGGGAGGTTGGGGTAGGGTAGGGAATCATATGAGCCCAGGGAAAGGTGAAGGAGGTCCGGGGTGGGCTCACATGTGCTTCCATCTCGCATCCCCCCAATTCCCGGGCCCTGGTCCTTAGCCCTTATCCAGGTAAGTGAATCCTTTTAATCAATCAATAAATAAAATATCTTAGTCATGAAGAATAAATAAAACAACCAACACCTATATTGGGAAACAGGAAAATTAATCTTCCATAAAATCCTACTTCCTAGGATCCAGTTCAACTGATGTGATCATTAAATAACATTAACATGTGGCCAAGAGACGAGAGCAGCATAGTTTTTAAAGGTGAGAGAAGCTTGGAACCATTAGGGAGGCAGCTGGCCAAAGAAATGACAGTCAGCCCTCCACATGTGCAGGTTCCACATTCATGGATTCAACAGACCTAGGGTAGAAAATATTCTTTAAAACAATCTTACGTCGTTGCTGACCTTGCTGCTTAGTTAGGCTTGTGATGGTGGTGTCCGTACTGAACATGCACAGACTTTTTTCTTGTCTTTATTCCCTAAACAGTACAGTATAACAACTGTTTACATAGCATATACGTTTAGTAGATACCTAGATTAAGAGGTGATTTGAAGTATATGGGAGAATGTGCGTAGGTTATATGCAAGTGCTACACTATTATATAAGGAACTTGAGCATCTTTGAATATGGATTTTGGTGTCCTGTGAAGTCCTGGAACCAATCCCCCCCCCCGCACCCCACCAAGGACACTGTAAATACAGTTGGGGAGGAGGAGGGGCTATGAACCCGCTAATCATAATCAGAGCCGAAGGTATTTGTGATTTTCTTACTAACCCCTCCTTCCATCTCTGGAAGTGAGGATAGGGGAAAGCCATCATTTCCAGAGTTTAATATCTTTTATTTCCCAGGCATCTCAGAACCGGTATCCCATTGGGTAGCATTCAAGGGGAAAAGTCCAGGAAGTGCCCCCTCAGGCTCTGTCACATGGGGCCCGCTGCTGTACGTTTCTGAAACACTATTTTTTAAAGAAATTTATTTATTTAAATTAGTTTCAAGTATACAGTACATTGGTTAGACAACTATAATGTTCATAAAACGATCCCCCTAATTGCTGGCCCTCCCCTGGCCCTCCACTTAGCCATCATATTAATGCTAACTGCATTCCGTCTGCCATGCTCCCCATGCCCAACTATCAACTACTAATTTGTCCTTCTTTAACCCTTCACCCCATTCTCTCAGCCCCATAACCCCCTCCCCTCTGTCCGTCACCAAATTGTCCACTATATTTGTGAGTCTGTTTTTGATTAGTGTATTCTTTTTGTTTCTTGTTGATTTCACATATAAGTGAAATCATATGGTATCTATCTTTCTCTGACTTATTTCACTCAGCATAATAACTTCTAAGTCCATCTATGTCGTTGCAAATGGTAGGATTTCATTTTTTTAATGACTGAGTAATATTCCATTGTATATATGAACCGTAATTTCTTTATCCAATCGTCTGTTGATGGGCATTTAGTTTGCTTCCATATCTTGGCTATTGTAAATTGTGCTGCCATGAATATTGGAGTGCACAGATTTTTACGAATTATTGTTTTGGTTTTCTTTGGATAAATACCCGGAAGTGCAATTGCTGAGTCAAAAGGTATATCCATTTTTAATTTTTTTAGGAACCTCCATACTGTTTTCCATAGCGGCTGTACCAATTTGCAATCCCACCAACGATGTATGAAGGTTCCCTTTTCTCCGCATCCTCGCCAACACTTGCTGTTTTTCGATTTATTGATGATAGCCATTCTGACAGGTGTTTTAACATGTTCCAGGCCCTAGCACAAAACACAGAGCTTAAAGAACGCTTATGCAGAATCCATGCTGAGTCTCTGCTCCTCGACCCCCCTGCTGCTGCCAAGTCGGGTGACAGTCTGGCAGAGGTGGGTAAGGCTTCTTGTCTGGTAATGTCTCCGTGACGTCCCACGACGCCCTCTCTCTCCCTGCCTCCCCCTTATGAGTGCTGCTCACATCTCCACAGCCTCCCACAGCCGCGGGCTACAGGGGTGGGAGTCCCTGCATCACAAGGCTTTCTGAAGGTCTGTTGCTAACTGCATTTTAAAACTGCTTCCCCCGCACCCTGCCCCTCAGAACTGTTCTTCCCTTTGTATTTCTTTTCCCCATTTTCCTCCATATTATTACCCTTTTCACTAGGTATTACTGGAGTGGAAACTGTAGAGAGACAGACATTCTCTCCTGTTACTTCTAAAAACACCTAACTCTCTCTGACCCAAGTACCCCAATTCCTGCCAGTGTTTTGCTTCCTCTGTGAGAACCACTCTTTTCTTTTTTTTTTTTTTTTTTTTTTTTTTTTTTTTTTTTTTTTTTTTTTTTTTTTTTTTTTTTTTTCCTTTTAAAAGCACAACCTTGCTCTCTGGCGGGGGGTGGGGGGCGGGGAACTATATTACAATTTGAAATGTCTTGGTCGGTTAATAGTATGATGAAAATGTCTCCTCTTAAGACATGGGATGGTTATCTGAAATACTCTTTGAATATATTTACGATGAGAAATTTCAGAAAAATACAAGTGAATTGCTTGAGAAATAAGTAGAAAGAGTAAATAAAGGTTAAAACTGTTTTTCACTATCTATTAGATTTCTATGCTTGCCTCAGACATGCTAAATTTTTAATGAACGAATTTATTAGACAGAGTGCATTTAAAATAAAAAAATAAGGAAGGTAAATACAAAGTGTGGGCGAGGCATGTAAAATTTTAAAAGGAGCTTCTAATGTTTAATCTTAATCCATCTTTTCCTGTCCTCAAAGAAAACAAAACCCTCACACAGCTTCACTCCTGGGACAGCTGTTGAGTCGGGCAGTAGAGACCAGAGGCTGAAATCAGTCAGTGCACAGACTGCGAGGCCCAGACAGCTGTGGCTGTTTGACACACAGGCCGTGCCATATGCTGTTGGGAGGGACCCTCTCTCTGCAGAGACTGCTGGCCTCTTATTACTTCTCAGACACAAGTCACTGGTTGGCTATGAAATTCCTTTACACACTCAAGAGATCTTTTCAGTCGTTAGCTCAGAAGTAAACTGAGTCACCTGCGGGATTGAGCCCTTATACATTACCCATGGTGGCCTTCATTTTAGACCAGGGCAAAGACATGTGCTCACCGGATGGGCTGTCTCTCAAATCTGCACATTTGCTAAAGCAGGACCCAGTCACCCGACCAGCCATCGCTAAGAGGTGTTTGATGCCAAACACCATGGCATTCTTTGGGGTTTTGTGTCTGTTTCCAAGTGGTACTTCTCTTTTAAAGAGCGTTATCACATACTTACATTTGTATGGCAAGTTGACCCTTCATCTATGGCTTTGTGAATTTATGCTCAGCGTGTATACTTGGGGATATTTGCATTTTGGAAAGGAGACCAAAACCACAAGTCTTTTTAAATGCACGTTTTTAAATTGATTTCACAGGCAATGTACCTGAAGGCTTAAGTGCTGTGAAGTGTCTTTGAGGAAGAGCAATAGCATCCCTTAAACTCACACCCTCCAAAACACTCTTTTGGAGTCTTGAATTGATCATACAGTTGTCTCCTTTATGTAGTTCCTTCTTGAGTGATTTTCTGTTTTCTGCGTTTTATCCTGCTTGTCACAGAGTGACTCAGGTTAATTTTCCCAGGAAAGGAAAAGACACTGTTGCCTCAGGAAATGAGAGAGTTAGTGGAAATGGCTGCCCCAGAGCCTGAAAACTCAACTCGATTGATTTTCCTTAGGTAGCTCTTGGCACCTCAAACACTGACAAAATGCCAGTCCCCACAGTGGGGTCAGCCCAGAGTGGTCCATTTTTAGGACTTCTCACTTTCTTTGCTTACCTTCTGTTACCTCTTAGCTACACAAATTAACCATCTTTGGCATTCCAAAATCTACTTGGATTCTAACATCTCCCCTCTCCTATCAGAAATTACTCCCACATCCTATCAAGGCCTTTTATTTTTTTATTTTCATTTTCTAAAATTTTTTATTAAAATTTAAAACAGTCAAATGTTAGGAGAGCAGTGTAATGAACCCCTGTGTACCCATAATCCAGCTTCAGCTGGCTTTTTGCAGATCTCGCTTCATCTATCCCCTTATTTTTTTATTTTTTGGTTAAAGTGTTTTATAGCAAGCCCAGATAGCATTTCATCCATAAACATAAACACAATGTTATTATCACATCTAACGAAGGTAATAATTCCTTAGTATCAGCTAGTAACAGTCTATGTAAAATTCTCCCAAATTGTTTCAAAATGTCTTTTTTTAAAAAATAAATTTATTTATTTATTTTAATTAGTTTCCAGTATACAGTACATTGGTTAGACATCTATATAGTACATAAAAACGATCCCTCCAATCGCTCCCTCTCTCCCCTGGCCCTCCACCTAGCCAATATAGCGAGTCCTTTTATTTTATATTTCTGAATGTGAACACTTAATGTTATCAGGTTGAGTTCTTAGATTATTTTATATTCCAAAAGAAAGGCCAAGTGATTTCGAGGATAACAGTCCATGAAAGCTAAAGTTCATTTAAGAGACAAGGCGAGGACTTTAAAGAAAAGTCTAAAAGAGAAGAAGGAAACTTAATTCTTTTAATTGTCTGTTTACTATATTTCATATGCATTTGAATACATTATCTCACAAAATCCTAACCCTAACTCTGTGAGATAGGCAATGGTTAAATTTTAAGAGACAAGGAAACAAAGCCCAGAAAGGTTAAAGAACTTACTCCAGGGCACATAGCCAGTAAGAAACAGAGCTGGGATTTAAGTCCACATCTAATGAGTCCAGAGCATCGCCCTGCTTTGTAGTGAGGAGAGATGTGTCAAACCAGAAAATAAAAACCAGAGTGAAGCTCTAGCAGTGAAAACATGGTGGTGATGACATAAGATGGTCAGAATAACTATCCCGGGTATCAACACGATTTAATATATGGAAGAAATAAACGTATGATAGAAGAGGCTCAAAAATCAATGAGAAAGAGATGGATTATTCAATCGGTTATGTTGGCAGAACTCAAAAGCAATTTGGAAAGCAATTTAAATCTTCCATTGCGCATTAAAACGAATTGCTAGTGAGTTAAATATAAAAATTCAAACTGAAAGATATTGATTTGAATATTTATCAAATGATGAGGGTAGGGAGGTCTTCGTAAATGTGGAAGTAGTAGGGAAAATTACAGAAGAAATGTCAGCTAGCTTTGGCTAGCTTTTTTTCCTAGGGGAAAAAAAATAGGACGTGTACGAAAAAATTAGGACACAAATAATAGACTACGAAAAATATTTTCAGTGAAAATGACAGACCTAGAGAATGCTAAAAAGGTGATAATGTATTGAATATGTAAATAATTAATAAATAATAGCAAGCAAATTAAGACCTTAACAAATAATTGGGGGAAAAAAAGACAATTCACCAAAACTCTCAAATCCAGATAGTGAAAAAAAAAAAACTTTTTATTTACTAATACTTTTAAATTTTTAGGAAAGTTTAAAGAAATGCAGAGGGAGTAGCCTCTTCCATCTGTCGTTAACATCTCTACAGCTGGTTTTTGAAAAAGGAAAAAATGTTCAGCCTAATTCTTAACAAAGAAATGCTTATTAAAACAATTAGATTAGCACAAGATATTTATGAATTAAAGTATTTGGTGCCCTTAAGGGTGTAGAGAAAACAGAGATTCTCTTACTTGTTGATGTAATTAGGAAATATATATTTTGCTTTAAATATTTTTAATAGTTCTACATCTGAGAATTGATTCTAAGGAATAATGAGATACAATCAGAGACACATTTGCAAACATGTTCACCATCTTTACAAATTTAGAAACATCCTTAATATCCAATAAATGAAATGATTACTCTATGACACACAATTACAATAAAATATTATCTATCGGCTAAAGTTCATAATCTCAAAGAACTTTTAACAGCCTGGGGAAAGTTTACAATATAATGTTTAGTGAATGTAGCAGACTATATAAAGACTAGGTACAGTGTGACCCCAGTTTTTCAAACTTGAAAAAAAATTATACGCAAATATTTTACTACAAAAAATAATATACCGGCAGGTTAATAGGAGCCACATCTAAGTGATGAGACTTTAAGCGATGTTTATTTTATTTATGTGTTTTTATGTTTTCTATTTTGAACACCTATTTTATCCTCAGAATGCATGTTAATTTTGAAAAAAAAAAATTAGGATAGTGCAATGTTGTTTGGGGGAAGTTTATAAAATTAGAGATTACAGTTATTCCAAAGCAAAGCTACTTATATAAAAGGATGCTAGAGAAATGTATCGGAGTGGCTGTTTTAGTGTGATGGAATTATGGGCGTTCTCTCCCTTTTCTCTGTTTATCTTTTTATAGCGTAAAAAAATAGATAAACAACCACTCATGCCATACAAACTTGAGGGGGTATTATTGAATCGGACTGACTAGATTAATACTTTAATAAACGAGGCACTGTGTTTTACAGGTGCCGCTGCAGTCCCATTAAGTTCTCAGTCGGGATTGACAGGGAGTTGCTCTAGTTGTGGAACAGCAGAAGCGGCTGGGGCTAGGTGTATTATTTTCAGTCTTGATCAGCCAAGAAATCTTTCTGACCCATCAGTCTGGGAAGAGAAAGGTAGAGAGGGAGCAGAAGTGACTGGTAATAAATTATTGAGTAGAACAAGTGAATAAATCATTAGAGTCTTACGTGGCGGTGGCACACCAAAGACAGTTCCATTGTTTCAGTGAGCATTAAAGAAGCTCCGTCATCCCCTACATAGTCTCTTCTTTGGAGGAGAGAGACCTCTCCCTTGACAGCAGTGGTATTTATTTGTAGATCTTACAGTGATCTCTTTGTTAGGGTGGAGAAGAAGTCTGCTTTTCAGAAAGCTGTGTGGATACTAAAATGGGTAAGATCTTTCAGCGAATACCTTGACCAGCTATCTTATTTAGGAAGAATCCAAGAGAAAAGGATATACATTGAAATATATTCCTTAAGTAAACATTTCATAAAGGGACCACTTACCCTTTATTAATTGTGAAAATCTGCTGCGGCCCTTCTGTTAAGCATTCTCCTCCTGGGTATAATTTGTTTATGAGATTGAGGAGTGTGTCCTGAACTTATAAAACTTCTGGTGAAGACATAATGGGCTATAACTCTTGCTCCTCCCAATCGTTCTAAGACTCAGTTATCAGATACATAATGATATAGAAGTAGCTCCTTTATCAGCCCAGAGAGAAATGTGAGCCATTGGGAAGTTCAGAGCAATGATCTTCTCTGATTGGAAGGAATCAAATCCTCTTGTCCTGAATCTGTTCTTATTCCTGAAGGTCTAGTCAGGTGTCACCACCTCTCGTGGGAAGCCCTCCCCTAACAGAATCAATCTCACCTTCCTGTCCGCTTCTAGAGCTCTTTCCGTGCCTTGGTCTTGGTTTTGTATGCGTTGGGCGTATTCTCTGCACCTCTCATTCAGGCCAGGGACCTTGTCTTAACCATCCTTATATCCCTCCGTGGCCAGCACAAAGCCAGTTGCTCAGTGTGTTGAGGTAAATTGAATTTTCACTTGCAACTTGAATAGAAAGCACATTCCCAATATATTTAGGTCCTTCCCAGAGGGAAAGTCTGGACCCGGTGAAGTAGAGGATGGGGGACCTGGCGAGATGGAAAAATCATGATATTCTATTGTGCTGTTCGTGTAGAGACTTCTAAAGGGGATAGGGGCTTTTCTGTCCCTTGCAGAGTCATTGTGGTTAGAGAAAGACAGGCAAAGAGCATTTATCTCATTTATCCATGAATAATGAATGATCTGCCACCAGGGGCACTTCTGGACCAAAACACGCTGTTTATTCGTCAAGGGATACCTCAAAAGCAACAATATTGGTCTCAGTGAGCACATAGGGGCAGAAGAAAGCCGTGTTTCTCTGAACCATCCATGCACAGACACACATTCAGTACAATTCAGAGGAAGTTTTAGGATGAAAAGAAACATCCTGCAGCGGAAGAAAATAAGAGGATGTGTTTCAGAGAGCGTTGGAATTTTTTCCCCTCTTAAATGGAACAAAGACTGGCCTGGAGAGTCTTTTTATTTTTTCGCTTTGAGATTCATTAATGTGCCTGTAAGTGAGGCGTCCATTTGAGAGATACCTTCGTTTTTCAGTTTATTTTGCGTGAGGCTTGTTGGTCCTCAACTCCTGAGCTGACCTCTGCTTTGAATTGCTCATCTGCGTGGGCCCGTGACCTTGCGTATCGTGCAATGAAATCTGTTGTTTATTTGCTTCTCTTGAGACTCTTTCTAAATATATGCATTTTTGTTTTCATGTTTCAACTAGGAAAACTCCGCGGACGACAGCCGACCTCTGGTCCACCAGCTTTCCAATGAGAGCAGACTCTCCATCGCTGACTCCCTTTCAGAGTTTTTCGATGCGCAGGAGGTTCTGTTGTCTCCCAGCTCTTCAGAGAATGAGGTTTGAGCACTGTGTTCAGTTAGGTGCCTCAAAGTCTCTTTCGTTGTTTTACTCATTCAGGAAATACCCACATTTAGAAACACTAAACTCAGTGGCCCCTTTCTGCTATTACATTCTGAGATCTTATAACTCATAGCCCCAAAAGCACAAAAGGATATAAGGTCTTAGGAAAAAAGGTGGTGAGGGTCGGTGTTGGCACTTCTGTATTTCTATTACTTGATTTATTATACCTCTTTTCAATTACATATTAACAATTTTGACTGTGAGCTATTTGATAATGTATTATCTCTACTATAGGGCCAGAAATTATCATCTTGTATATTTTTCAATCATTGAATTTGACCTATGTTAAATGCTAATTTAATTAATTAGCATTGAGTTTTGGATTATGTTAATTAATTAAATTAATTAAACTAATTAACCAAATCAATTTAATTTAATTAAACTGGTTATTAAATTAATTGATTGAATTAATTAGCATTTAACATAGGTCAAATTCAATAATTGAAAAATATAATCTCATTTATCTGTTAATTTCCATAGTTTTTTTTCCTAAATAGTTCAAAGACAAATTGTAACTCATTCTACCCAAACATTAACAAATTCTGAAAATGCAGTCTGAATTAGTAAGAATTTTAATAGCAACTAAAATCTCGACTTGACTTCTGAGAACAAAGCAAGAAAGTGTAAGGATTTTAATAACAGATGTTTGCTACAACACCTCCTAGGCAGACTGGTGTATGAGCTTCTGTGAAAACAGCATCAAGAATTATTTATCACAGTTTGTAATGTGGGGTTCAAAATGTTTGATGATTTGAGTAAAGGTTTTATGAAAATCTGGCTTGTTTACTGTCACTCTAATGTATATTTCTTCTTTCCCATAGGTTTCCGAGGATGACTCGTATGTCAGTGACATAAGTGACAACCTTTCCTTGGACAATCTCAGTAATGATTTAGATAATGAGAGACAGACCTTGGGTAAGATTTAAATTATTTGATCTCTGAAAGTTTGGATTTTCACAGAATGCTAATAAGCATATATACAGTACCTATTGTAGGCAGAGAACTATAGCAAGTACTACCCAAGAAAATTAAGACATAATCCAACCCTCAAGCTTTGTATCACCCAGGTAAGAAGATAGCACTGCATGTGAAAAATGGATTCATTCCAATAAATTTCTCTACTTGCATAAATTTGTATTTTTCTAAAGTGAGGATATACCAATTATCATATAAATATCAAAGATCAGTGTAAGATATATCCCTTATTTGGTCAAACATTCTCTCTGAAAGCATATTAGAATATAGCTTTTTTGCCTTTCAGTATATAGACGTTTTCATAACTTAGGAATTCCATAGGGCTTACATAATAAAGGTCTTGTCTGAGTGGTACTCTATCTTCAGATTCTTGAAGATAACACATTTGAAAATAGCAAACTTGTTTTCCCTTTTTTCTTTAACACTCCACAGACAGAATGTGGTCTCCTCTCAGAGGCGGAGAGTAGGAGGGACAGTGAGAGAGAGTAAAGGCTTTGAGAGGGACTGAAAATAGCAAACTCACCTCCTGGCAGTGAGGTGCCTCAAGGTGTCCTCCAACATCCATTTATTACTGGTTGTTCCCAAGAGTGGACATGATGCCAGGAAATGTTGATTTGAACCATGGGGTCCCTGGACTGTCCAGCTATCCCCAGGTGATTAAGGAGTTCAGTGAGCAGACTGAGGTCTGTTTAGCAAGGGGCCCTTCAGAGGAATCTACTCATTGGACAGTTCTCTGCATTGGTCCTGTAGCATCAAATACTCCCAGTCTTGGTGCTCAGTGTGCCTTGGGGCTTCTTGGTTTGTCTGTGCCACACAGTGGATACCCAGAGCACTCCCTATTTTCATATTTACATGGAGGACAGGGGCTATGCCAGGTGATTTTTGGTATTTCAATGCTCCCCAGCTCAGTAAGAATGTGCGAAATATGATGATCATGTGTTCTTATCTGTATGTCAAAGAGCCTACACACACACACACACACACAAACGCAGGTAATTTTACCATCCTCTGGAAGAATACCCTTTCAGCCTCACACCTGCTGGAAGTCAGATGCCCATGAGGCTCTATCTTGCTTGAAATGTTTCTGGAGAGATGAACCTTTTGGTAGAAAAGTCTGAGAACCAGTGGTTCAAAGGAGAAGACTGATAATACAGGAGCTACTTGCTTTTCTAGGAAAACAAGTGAATTGAAAGAGAAACGAAGAAACATCATGTATTCCCTTGGCAAATAGCACACACACTAAAGTGGAACTCTCACTGTGGATGAGCAAGGCTGACCGCTGCTGAAGTCCTTCTCTTTGAGGCCTTAGGAAGGGGCCAACAGAAGCACAGGGTTGAGAGGTCAAAGCTGAGAACCGAGGACTTGTCCTAGACCTAAGACCACAGCTGTGCTGAGTTTATACCAGCCAGGAAAGGTATACAGGAGGTTAAAGCTGGTTCTTTCTTATTCCACAGCCATTTTGCTAGAATGCTAACATTGCCTTAGCTTGAACAAACATGGCCAAACCCAGCTTTCTTCTTCAGCCGTATTGGGAAACGAAAATAGGTGTCCTCCAGTTTAACTGTCTCTGAAGAAGGTTAGGTTTCTAAACATCAATATTCTACTGAAAAGATTGGATATAGAAAGAACCTTTGCATTAATTACACAGTTCTGCTTACAAAAGGAAATAGGATCGGATCAAGGTCTTGATAAATGATCACACTAGAATTTCTCTGAGCCCATGCTAAATGCTAGGTATTTAGGGTACTTCCTATTAATTTCTTACCCACCCCACCCCAAAATCAATAGGCACATATGAAGATCTGTCACCATGATGCGTGCTGTGATTTGGAATATCAATTCAAGGATTAGATTTCCTTTGTTAACCTCAGCTCTGCCATTCACTGGTTATATATTCTAGGGCATGTTAATTAACAGCTCTGTGCCTTGATTTCTTCATCTGTAAAATGGAAATAATAATACTGTTTACCTCAAGAAGTTCTTATGAAAAATTAGTGAGAACATATATATAAAATACTTAGATGACTTGCTGCCTGAGTAAAAGTTAGATATATATTAGCTACTAGTGGAAGTAGTCATATAGTATTCTTTCCAATTTAAATTAGTGTAATCAAAGAAAATATTTTGAGATTACATGGAAAACTTTTTAAAAACTACTCTTAGTTACAGCTATTTACTTATATGAATCAGATTTTTGCCCATGTCGAACAATAAAAACAAATTCAACAATTAATTGAATGCTTAGATTAACACAAGACTGCGAAGTATAACTCCAGTTTCATGCTTTTCTGTTCAACGAAGTAGACTCTTTAGTCAGTGTGTTTGGCTTTATAAAGAACAAACATTAAATATTTATTTTTGATAAATAAAAGTATAAAATTAAAATGTTGTTTTCACATATGTTGCTGTAATGCAAAAGAGTTCATGTGAAAATAAGCTCCATTGGGATGGGCAAAGAATTTCAGAGTAAGAAGCAATGGAATTTCTCACAAAGCAAAAAGATCGATAGATATAAATACCTAACACGTAAATGTTTCATTCATCAAAAAAATCACATGGGCCAAATTTAATGGTAAATGTCAAATGGGAATTAAATTGTAAAATGAATATAAAAACAAAAGATTACATCTTAATATTTAAATAGGAAAGCGGACAATTCAGATAAGAAATGTTCTTTAAGGCATTCCAGATCACGCTAGGAATTTTCTAAATGTAAGTTAAAAACAAAGAGGTAACACCATCCATCTAACGATTTGCTAAAAATTAAAAACAAAGAATGACAAGCCTGGAAAGGCCTCAGAAAATGGACACTCGCATATGCTGCTGATAAATGGGAAATTGATACAGCCTTTTTCAGGAGCCCTCTGAGCATGTGAATCAAAAATACAAAAATATTCATAGTCTTTGACATAGTAATCCCACTTTTATATCTCCTATGAAAATAATCAGAGAGATAATCAAATATCTAGGAATAGGAATAATCACTTCCTCTTGCATCATAGCAAAACATTGAAACAAAGCTAAAAGTCCAACAATAGATGAATAATTCAGTAAATTATGGTGTATCCATAGCATGGGATTTTTCATAGTCATTAAAAATAATGTTTTAGATGAATTTCAAATAGCATGGAAGAATACTTATAGTAACTGAATAAGCAGAACAGAAAACTAGACATACAGTATGAACTCTGCGGATGAAGAAAACACTTAGTGAAAATACTCCCAGACATAATTGGCTACTATTTCCAGATGATAGGATGATGTATGACTTTTATCATCTTCATAATTATCATGGAATTAACATAACTTTTTATGAGAATTCGAAGTGATTTTTAAAAAGAGTATAAGAGTTTTTATCAGAATTTGAAGTGCTCATTATAAAAAGAGTTTGAGTTTAAAAGTGTAAACAGTAACTTGCTCTGAGTATAGAAATTCAGTTTCGTTCTATTATACATGTACATGAACTGTGAAGAACTAGCTTTTGAGCAGGATCTTGAAGGCCTTCTTGTAGACGGGAGTCTTTGAGTTTTAGTGCATGTCATTTTTGGACTTAATTTAACTGTGCAGAAGTCTTTATTTTCCAACTTTCAGTCTTGTTCTGAATAACTGAGATTAAGAGTAAAATTGAATACTTACTAGGTAAGGTTTTCTTCATGGATTCTTTTATTTTTAAAAATAATAAAATAAAGTGGAAAGGCTTATAAAGATAACCAGGCCCATTTCCCTTTCAGGACCTGTCCTGGAAGGTGGTGGGGAAACGAAGTCCAGAAGAAGGACTTGCTTGCCGGCACCCTGCCCCAACACCAGTAACATCAGCTTGTGGAACATCCTGAGAAATAACATAGGCAAGGACCTGTCCAAGGTGGCCATGCCGGTGGAGCTGAACGAGCCACTGAACACGCTGCAGAGGCTCTGTGAGGAGCTGGAGTACAGCGAGCTACTGGACAAGGCCGCACAGATTCCCAGTGCCCTGGAGAGGATGGTGAGGGGCCGTCTTCCACCTGGGCTGCCAGGCCGTTCTCAGGCTGGCAGGACCAATGCGGGCAGAGCCAGAGAGCCAGTCCCCTCTAGGGGGTTTTCGTTGAGATGGTACTTGAGATAGATTCATTTCTCAGTGACATCTGGTTCCCCTCTGCTGGGCTGTTTTCAGTCACCTTGTCAGGATTTGCCATTGGGGGTGGGGAGGTCTCCTCTGTGACAGCTGTGCCTGGGGATAGTTCTGCTCTGTGGACTTGCGCTTCCTCTTTCTCCAGAACCTTCCTTGTGATTGTTCCGATATGCCTGTCTGGAAAACATATCTCGAGGGCTGTCTGGGTATTTATTTTTACGATCCCGGGTGGACAGCATTTAATTTCTCAAGCTGTCTTTCTCATCTGGGGTGAATTTCCCTTGAGAACGTTTTTGTTTATTTTTGGAATCGTCGCATCGGCTCCTAGATTTTCAGAAAATAACGTTCACAGAAGAGGTTTTCACAAAAGAAAGATTCTTTTTGGTTTTGTTGTCGTTTTTCCTCTCCTTATTCTATAGAGTTTTTTGTTTGTTTGTTTGTTTTAAAGCTCATTCACGAAAAATTCACCTTTTGTTCTCTACTCGGTATCACTTCCAGTGAAAGGACTCCAAGTGTCTCTCAGCCTTGCCCCGCCTTGTGCAGCTCGGGGGAAGGGGACTGCGGTGTTAAGACTGTGGCCAGATCAGCCCTCTCTGTCTGTAGCTGACTTTGTTCTTCAAAATTGAGAGGTCTCTTCCTCTTTTTGCTTCCTCGTATGTCACCTGCTCAACAGTAAGGTCTTTGTGTGGGAGGCTGAGGTACAGTGTTTTCCTCAAATGCAGGGTCTCTGTCCTGGGCATTTGCTGATTGGCTCAATTGGAGTTGGCAATTCCCTCTCGGCTTCAAGACCTGGCTGTCACCCTCACCCTGATGGAGGACACGATTCCTTTCTAAATTCTAAGGATTCTGTAGTTTTAACCCTCATTAAAATGTCATTACTTCAGTGATTTGAAGATTAAGGGGAAACCTAACTCGTAGGTGAAAAGAGACCTACTGTAGTCATTCCACAGTCTCCAGACTCACAGTCTCCAGAGACTTCTCCCGTCAAGGAAGTGGGCTTGACAATACGAGTAGGAGAGAAAATCAAGCTGTGTCTTTTCAGTCTTCTTTGTTACTCCTCCCCAGAGAATTTCTGCTGAGCAAAGGGAAGCACATAGCTTCTAAGACAAGTGTTAAAAGCCAACATTTGTGGACCCCTCTTTAAAGAAAACACTGACTTTGAAGATGAAAGTATTCTTCAAGGTGTTTCAGGCTTGTGGCAATTTAGAGACCCTTAGGATATTCAGCTGATTGATTGGTGTCCTTGACCTTGAGAAGAAGTTTGAAGAAAGGCTTTGCATTCCAGCACATTACATCAGGAAGGGAAAGTACAGGCAAGCTTAGTATCCCTGCGTTGTGTTTATGGCTCTGAGGGTCAGCTCCAGCCCCTGCAGAGATCTCTCCCATGTTGCCAGCCCCAAAGGAGGATGCTTCATTGTTTCTGCTCCCTCTCCCTCAGTGTTGTGAATGATGCCAGGTTCTTTTATACATTTTGTCATATTTTAGGTTATGAAGGCGATTCAGGGTTGATCTGGCATTCAAGATAGATAGTGTGACCTTACTGTTTAACAGGTAGCAAACATCTGAGGAGGCAGAGAGATAAACGAAGACCCAGGTTTCAAGAACAAAGACAGAATTGAGCGTAGTGAATTGATTTTTATAAGCTATCCAGCTGCTCTAGAGTGTTCTATAGTATGAGGTGGTAAGGTGGCTCCTGTTTGCAAAAGACTAAGAAAAGTTGTGTGACTAGTAAATGTTTATGAAAGGCATTCAGCTCTTTTTACAGTGTAAAAGGCTTCATGAAATGTGCTGTGAAGAGAAGACATAGAGATTGTTTGTTACTCAATATTAGAAAGGGAAAGTTGCTATTGCTACTTCAATTTCATTTTCGTGCTGGGCCTGCCAAGTACATAAAAAGAATAATGTACGTTTTTCGTGTCCTGAAAGGGGAAATGAGAAAAATGTTGAGAGCCTCACGGAGAAGGCCATTAAAAGATCTTGCTCATTTCATGTTCCTTTATAGTTTATTTTCCTTTTTGATTTTTCCTTTTTCCTTCAAACAGAACTTTTTTTTTTTTTTTAACCTCACAGATTGCAAGGGCCTTGCCAGCTTACAATCCCTTATTTTTTATTTTTTACGCCTACAGCACCTGTCTTCCTAGGTGGTCTCCCATCCAAGTACTAACCAGGCCTGACCCTGCTTAGCTTCCAAGATCAGACAGGATCGGGCTTGTTCAGGGTGGCATGGTTGTAGACAAGCAGAACTTTTTAAAATAAAGCACTGTGCTCTGTCCTGTGGTTTGTTGCCCAGGCTCAGGAAGTGACGCTCACAGATTTTCTTTTGTCAAATGAGTTTTGAGATTTCTACAGTATCAAATTGGGAATGGCTAAAGTTAGTACGCCTATTTCTGAATTTTGAGGGAAGTTTGGCTTTTTTTATGTTCCTCTTCCTCACCCCTCCTCAAAAACCTTTTCTCAGATATGGCTCAGCCTAACCACTCAAAAGCAGTGTAATTCGCTTGGTAAATACCATCATCTGGAAAGGCTCTGCCAACTTTTAGGCATTAGAACAAATGGACAGTTTGAAAATGTTTGGTTCATTTGTCTCTGAGGCCACAGTGAACATTATTTAAATCTGCAACTTTAAACTAAAAATTTGGCTTTCTGAAACAAACGATGAAGAGAGAAATGAAGGTTTTATTGTGCTCCTGTCTTTGTAAAAATAACTTTGCCGGTGACAGAGAAATAACAACGTTCTTTCCTCCCTCTCCTTAGGTGTACGTGGCAGCCTTTGCTGTATCGGCATATGCATCCAGCTACTTCCGAGCTGGGAGCAAACCCTTTAATCCAGTTCTCGGAGAAACCTATGAGTGTATTCGCGAGGACAAAGGCTTCCAGTTTTTCTCAGAACAGGTGCATATACACCCTTCTGGTTTGTTGTGTACACCCTTTTGTCCACTTGCACCGGAGGAGTTGCTTATGCCTCTCATTACATGTGTTTTTGAAATATTTATTTTCTACCTTTCGCTAGCTTCAAAGCAACGAGATAATTATAGTGTTTTTACACATAAAGAGAGTCATCGAGTTCCCTTCCCCTGAAACCTAGCCACCACCCCTAGGCAGGAAGGTACGAGCAGCGCTGAGCTCCCGCTTGGCCATGTGCACGAACAGTGCCCTTTCTGTTCAAAATCATAGTGAGAGGAGTTTTCAGAGTATGAAGCACGTGCCCCAAACTGTGATTTAGAGGTTTAAAGTTTGCACCCTCCCTCACTGGCATCGATTGCTATTTTAGGGCACGACCGCCCCCATCAGAATGGCTAGCACCCAACAATTGCATTACTCTTGAGTTTATTTAAGAGGAATCATTCATTCATGTATTTATTCATTCAACCCCATAAATATTTTTGGACCATTACCACGCGCCTGGTACTGGTCCAGGTGCTGGGAGAATTCAGTACAGTGGGGGCCGGGGGTTGAGGAGATGCTGGTCTTCATCGAATGGATGGACATACTTCATACTTACGCAGACTGAGTTCCTCGAGCTTCCACGAGACTCTTCCCACTACAGAATTAGCAGAGAGTAATATTCAAGAACAATGGCTCTGGAGCCAGACGGCGTAGGTTCAAATCTCAGCCCTACCTCTTACTAGGTGTGTAACTAAGGGCAAGCCACTTAATCTCTCTGTGCTTCAGTTCCTCTTTAAAGGTGGAGATGATGTTAATGGTACAGACCTCAGATGTCTTTGTAACGATTAAAGGAGATACACTCTACAAAGCACTTAGACCAGTGTCTGATACATGAAGTATAAAGTGTTACATGAATGTTTACTGCCATTATTGATGCAGGATAGCATAGTTTGCAATAGTGGAATGTTGGCAACATCCAAAATGTCTGTCAATAAGGATATGTTCAGCTAAAATAGGGTGCAACAATACCAAAAATAAAAAGCAATTCTTTCCCCCCTGCCCCATCCCCAGTTAAGGCAGCAACTAAACATGTCCACCCTCCATATATCCCTAACCGTTACCTGAGGAGCATTAAACATGATTGCTGCAATAAATTTCTCTTCTCCTAATTCTTAGAAAACTGAGGGGAAAAGGGCGGGTTGCTAAAATACTAGTTTCCTTCCTATTATCTTGCTGCCCTCTTTATCAATGAATGTGCGTTATGAGGGTGGGAAGGGAGGGGTGGCGTGGCTGAGAGGCTCATGAAGATGGTGTTTGTCTGAACTGTAAATTACAAGCGGTGTTCTCTGAAACTCAAAGGAAAATGAATACACAATAATCCCAAAGCATGTTTTCAGCAGCTTTCCGTTTAGAAGCTGAAATAAGAAATTAAACACTGATAGTGAGGAAGTAGAGGGGTTAAATCAGTAGTTAAAGGGATGAAATAATCTGATTCAAATTCAACTGGGTTATTTAAATACTAAACCTAAAATGGAATGAGAATAAATGAAAATATAACTTGGTTACCATGGCATTATATACACTCGTATGAAAAAAAGTAAAGGCTGAAAATACCCCCAAACTACAGCAGACAATCAGGAAAGCATGAATAGGTGTAAGAAAGAGTAGTAATGTGAGCTAAGCCTCAACCCCGTGAGCCCCCGACATGCTTGTGTATCTCCTATGGTGGCACAGAGAGAAAGCAGAGCTCCTGGGCACATGTGCACAAAGACAGAAAGAACGTTACATAACTTAGTCTTTAATTCTATGAAATGGATCCCAAGGAAAGAAGCATGAATGAGATCTGGTCCTTGTTAGTAACACAGGGTGTGCTGGGTGTAATGCAGACCTGCTTTCAAATCCTAACTAACCCCCGCACTTACTCTGTGTGTGGCCACGTAAGTGACAAACTTTCTGAGCCTCAGTTGTGTCTTTATCTATAAAATGGGAATGGTAACTCTTACCTCGTTGCAGCGAGGCTCAATTGAAATAACACACCAATGTATAAAGCACTTGCACTGAGACTAGTAAACATTCAGTGCGTGGTTACTAGTCTTATATTTAGAGGCAACTTTTAAAATCTTTTTTAAGTGTTAAGAATAGTAAGAGGAGCGTTGAAATAAGATATAGTACATCTATGCTTCTAATTCAGGGGTTTAAAGGGGGCGTAATGACACCGGTGAGTCTCTGACAGAAAGCCGGCGATGAGGCAGCTAAGAGTCATCCTCGCAGCTGGCTTTACATGGTAATACCACCAGTCCTGATCGTGATGGAGTCACTTCCTGTGTGGAATTTAGTTTTATGGCCTCAGACAGTTGGTTCTTTTAAGACACCAAAAAAATGGGTAAATCTCTCAGGGGCAGAGTCACACTAGCTAAGTTTACAAGAGACTGATATATAAACTAGAATGCTACTTACTATGAAAAATAGACCTGCCGTGGGGGCCAGAAATACTAGGTTTGCAGAGTGCTTTGTGCTTTTCAAACTTGTGCAGGATCCTATTTGATCTTCAAAATACCCTGTGCTGCAGGTGAGGTGAGGACCAGTTATCGATGAGGAAAATGAGGCCAAGAGCATTAGTACCTGCCAGGGACCCGAAGCTAATGCCCTCTGCTTTCATTCCTGTGTCCACTCTCCTTCACCTTTTTCAGGGTCTCTTGTATGGATTTAGTTACTATGCTCGATGCTGCTGGATTCAGTAGCTGCTGTTAGGAAAACAGCCTTTTGTATACTGTTCAGACCATGGAACTTTACCTGTCATTGGCACGTAAACCTTTCATCCTCCAAACTCATGTAGAATTTTGTTCTCAGCTCCCATTGTGGGCTGGAAAGTGGCCTTTGTGAATGAGGTACATTCAGCAGTAAATCATAAACATTTCTGTCATATGTTCCACCTTCCCTGGGAAGGAGCTTCCTTTGTGCTAAGAAATCTGATTCAGCCTTGGATTTCTAAATAAGCCCAGAAAAGGGGGAATTCAGGAAGAAAGGACTTCCTGTCTGTCCTCAGGGACTCAGTCTCCTGCTGGCAGATTGTTCCTCACTTGCTTCTCCTGCTGCCTGGCAGAGAGATAACACATTGGTTTTGGGCCCCATTAGAGACTGGAGGGGTCAGAAAACTCATTTCAGTTAGCTTTGCTTCTCTTTTGTACCTTTGGGAGAGGTTTGGCATCTAAAAGATATGCAATTACGCTATTACCTAAAAGTGGCTTTTCCTAATTACCTGGAACTTCAGTTGTCAGATCACTGTTCAAGTCATTTTTAACCATTTATTCACTTAGCCACATCCTGTTGAGAGTTTGTGACAGAAAAGCTGAATGGAGTTATTGAAAGTTACTAAAATGGAAGAGATTTGAATGAGGTCTTTTTTTCTTTGCTCTTCCGGCTCAGCCCTTTTCTGTGGCTCATCGGGAGGACTTTGAACATATATTCTTGGACAGACTATAAATACCACGCCTCTCACTTCTCTCCTTACACACTCACATCGCCTCTCTGAATAGTTCTTTTATCTACTAAAAGGCAAAAGTATTTCCTACTGATTAAAGTGGCATCCTCTTTAAAGACATTATCAGAGGGGAAATTCAAGCTGTTCAAATAGAACTAGCAATAAATCAAATATAAGGCGACGAAACCAGTGCTTCTGCGTTTCTAGGTCAAGTCATCACTTAATGTGTTTTTGTTTTTATTTCTGGGTTTCTTTTTTCTTTCTTTCTTTTTTTTTTCTTTGCAAGAAGCCATGTGTTTGTGAAATACGTGATTAACTCTGAAGAGAAAATAATTGACAGCTGCATTCTCCCCCAAATCAGGCCAGTGTCCTTGACATCAGCCTTAATAGCTCGTTCTCTTATAATCCACATCCTATCCATCAGTAAATCCTGGGGTCTTTGTTCAGAAGCCTTCCTTGCAGAGCCAGTCATTTTCACTTCCTCCCCCACTGGAGCTGGCCACCATGCCCAAGCCGTCGTAATCAATGGCTGTGATGATTGCAATGGACTCATTAACTGGTCTCTGGTTTCCAAAGCTAGTTTCACCTTGCAGCCAGTGATCACTTCAAGCAGGAGCAACTTCTTCTCTAAACCCTCCAGGGACTTCCTGTGTCTCTTGGAATAAAAACCAAAGTCCTGACCACAGCCCACAAAGCCCTCCAAGGCGCCACCCCCAGATATCACACCTCCTCCCACTTTCACTCCTTCAGCCTCAGCCTCACTGCCTTTTGCCTCTCTTAAAATATACCGAGCATGTACCAGCCCTGGGCAGTGGCTGTTCCTCTGCGTGGTTAACTTTCTTATTTCTCGTAGCCTCCAAGCTTTCCATTCTAGAGAGTCCTGCCCCAACACCTTGTCCGGAACATAGCACACCCACTTCTCATCCCCCGATCCGTATGCCTTGCTCCGTTCTTAACACATGTTATTACTGACAAATTACGTACTTATTTGTTTATTATCTATCTCACCCACTTCTGCACTGAAATGTCAGCTCCATGAAGATAAAGGTTTTCGTTGCTCATTGTATTCCCAGCGAGTGGACAGCGCCTGACACATCATAGGCGGTCAGTAAATGTTTGATGAATCCCATAGAAAGAATGGCCACTTGGTCCCCTCTATGGATGATTGTCACCTGGTACTTGTCCTCTTTTTCACAAGCTACCCTTTGAGGTTGGAGGCAAGTCAAGACTAGGAGGGCTCTAGAGTTATGTCTCTTGACAGTTGCAGAATAGATGTATTTAAGGGATATTTTCCTGGATCCAAAAATGAAAAACTTACAGAATACACAGATATTAAGATGCACCCTTTTCTCACCTGCTTCTCTCCTTACCGCCCACCTTTTATATAAAATGCATTCAAAGCATAAATCAAAATGATTATGTCAGGTTGAAGAAAGACCTCAGGTGTACAAATAAATTATAAGAATTCATAACTAACAGGGGAACCCATTGATTGCAGCCTTATAGGAAGAAAGATACATATAAATACTTGCATAATAAAAACTCATTTCCTGAATGTTTGAGAATCCGTAGCAATCAGAAATTGCTCTTATGTGATTGGGATGGAGAAGGATGCTAAAAAACCAGTCTAAACTGGATTTATCTAGTAAGTTAAAATCTTAGCTTCTTACTCCAGGGCTGGCTTTTTTAGATTCAAACTTAAAATCTAATGCCTTTCCGGGTTACATGTGGATTAACATGTAATGTGAGTACAAACTCAACCAAATTCCATACTAAGACAGGATAGACTGTGCTCATTATTCTCTATGCCAGATTTTAGAAAGATTGCCGTCAACAAAGATTAAAGTATTAACTGTGAATTACCCCCTTTCCATGGGCATTCGAGCTAACACCTTAGAATAATCTTTTCCAATTGGGTGGCACCCAATGAGGCTGAGATTTGAAGAAGACGTTGAAAGCAAATGTTAAAATTAGAGCATTTCAAAATCAGAGGGACCCTCCGACATCATTTTACAAAGAAATTAAAGAGACTCAGAGAGGCTGGTAAGGTCAGACTCAAGAGTCTTTCTCTGAATATTCACGAGATGGGACCTCAATGGCACCCTTGGGAGAAGGAGCACAGCCTGACTTGAGAGCAGCCTTAGGGAGGCAACTGGAACACTGGCTTTGAAAATCAGTGGACCTCGGTTTAAAGTGCTGCCCTTGTCACTAATTAACTTTGTAGCATTGAATGGGTTCTTTAATTTGTTTCCTCATTTATAAAATAATGATAATGAAGATACACGGTTACCATGAGAACCAAGTAGAAATACCACTCATGAAAAATGGCTAAAATTTGGTTTCCACATACTTCATACCAGCATATGATCTTGGCATTTTACATGTGTCGTCTTTTTTTAGTTTGCAAAGTCAGTGGTATTAGTCCTACTTTATAGATGAGATAACTGGGGCCCAAAGGGCTTAAAAATTTGCTCAAGGTCAGCTCAAAGTCATAGAGCCAGTAGATGAATGTGCACAGCTAGGACCTAGGTCTGTGGCCTCCAAAAGCTCTCCTTCATGCCCTGACACTAGCAGAGCACTTATCAGATGCTCCCCAAAGGTTTCATGAATCAGTACCTGTTGTAAGGAAATCTATCAAAGCAGAGTAAGGCATCAATTTACTTTCCCTGGAAAGCTTTGTAAATTTCTTAAAAACAATGTGCACCAAATAAATCACCCCCAAAGGCATTTTTAAGCCAGAAAAAAAGAAGTGAAATCATTGATTTTGAATGTTGAGATGTATCCACTCAGAAAACTTCGCTAGAGCCCATCATAGGCACTTTGCTAAATGCTTATTCGTTAATCTCATGCGATAATATTGAAAAGTCAAAGTTATGTTTTTATGGGACGTATGTATACTTTATGGTATGATAAGGCATCATTTAGAATTCACATGGATATAATATTTACCCCTGTTTTATGGGATTTAAAATTATTATAGAAGAGGTTTATAGTTTTAGATACTTTATTTTGCTTTGATGTTTCATTTGGCCATACCTATAAAATGCCAAATTCTTGATCAAGGCTGTGATACCTATACTTTTTACTACATTCTTTCTGTGGTAATGAATATGACATATTTTATAATAATCGGCTTTAAAATATGCCTACATTATGGGGGGAGGGGAGCCTTCCATAGCTCCTCCCACTCCACGGCATATACGTGTGTGGGTGCAGGAGGTGGTTCTTGTCCTGGTTGAGTTTTATGTGATCCCAAGGTTTGAAAGTTAACTCTACTCTTTTCATTGATAGTTGCTGGGGATCATAGACAGAGACAAGGATGCAACATTTTGTGATACAAAGTATCTTCAAGAAGTTGCATTGGAAAGAAGACAAAGCACGCAGAAAGTTGCATTTTAGGGGCTACATTAAGAGGCCTGTGGGAACTGACACCATCCACGGGATAGCACATTTACATCTCCCATGTCATATTAGATCTGAGATCCATGTCTACTGAGACCTGAGAGATGCCCATACTATTTACATGTTTGTCTCTACTTTTCTTTGGGTCAAGGTGGTAGGTACAGTTGAAATCCTATCAGTTAAATGTGTACGTGACTCTAGATTATCCTATCCCTGCCATTCTCCACCTAAGGGGGTGACACCCAGAAGTGGTTTTCAGACCACGTTCCTCATTGCAGCCGAGGGTCCAGAGCACAGCAGTGGTTGAGAATTTGTCATTTCCTCTTGAAAACTGTAAAAAAGGTAAAACTCTGGGTTTTACCTTTATTTTTTTCTGTATCAATGTGTTTGGGAAATGTTACTTAATCTTTATGATTTCTGTCTCATTTGTAATGTGAAGGCTTTGGAGTAGATGCTCTAAATGTAAGATACTTGGCTAAGAACCAGCCAAGTCAGAAAAAATTCTGGAAACACCACTGGCAGCATTATTCTGGTTTCACTAAGACCGAATGCTACCATTCATGTGCCCTGAGTTACTAAGATAATGAGGAAATGTGAGGAACCATTTTCTCATTAGCTTCTTCATTAGTGACTAAAACGAAGTAATGACCCCAGTGACATAGGCAGGGACTGCGCTAGAGTCTGTTACAAAAGATTCTCTTTTCTGGAGCATAATCGAGTATTTACTGAAGATATTTTTATCTCAACAGAAAATGAATAAAAAAATTTTCTTAGAAGTTGACTATCATTTCTTCAATAATTGTTTGTTTAGCTCTTTTTAAAAATAGAACATTATTCTTTAAAAAATTATCTCGAATCAGGCTTCTTGTAGGTGATTTGAAAAGAGGCCGGACCGTTGTGATGCAGTTTTTAAATGAGTGAAATCTGCTTCCCCAAAGAGTCTTTGTGTTGCTTGGAAGAAGCGTTTAAAAACCTTTACTATTTGACATCTTCGTTAAACACAGGTACCTTCAGAACAGCTGATAGAGATTTTGACATTGGTGGCCAATGTCAGATGACATGGTGTATGAACCTTTGCATGTTCCTGCTTTTATTTTCACGTCTTTCAAAACGTGTTTCTATCTTCATCACTCGCCATTTAGCTGCTTTTCTCTGAGGCTTCTGGTGGCTTCCATTCACCCGACTTCTTCTCACCCCTAATGAGCTTGAGCAAATCGAAGCTGACTGTATCAGGAGCACTCTCTCGAGGACAGACTTGGTGAAAGAAAACGAAAAGAAGTTTTCAGTCACGTAGACACCGAGTGTCGTGTTACATCTCAACGCAAGGGAGGACTGGGTTTCATGAGGCACAAAAGTTAATAAATTTTTTGCTTTCTGGCCTTTGTTTCCATCAGGTCAGCCACCATCCACCTATCTCTGCGTGTCATGCTGAGTCTGGAAATTTTGTTTTCTGGCAAGGTAATGTGCTGCCCTATTTCGCTCCCATCATTTTTTGTAATGCTAGATTTATTTTATTCAGAAACTACTGTAAATGCTTGTTGAGGTCAAAAGTAGGCCCTGAACTTGGGCCTTGTTGGGATCTGTACTGCTTGATGTTCTTGCCTCCCATCTCTGAATAATAACTGATATTTGTCTACTTCACAATTGAGGATTTAGATAGATAATTTAGGTGTCCTCTTTTTTGAAAATTCTTTGTCTCGGTCACCACCATCTTATTCCTATAATTTCTCTTTATCTTATTCCATAGCCACTTGAAATACCTTGTGTCTTTCAAGAGACAGGAAACACTTTTAGTTATTTATCAGACAGCAGAGGGGTTTTTTGCTTTTAAAAATGTTTATTTTTATCTCTAAAATCACATTTTACTTTGCTGACTTTTTTTCTTCAATACCTATATTCACTTTATGTTTTGGATTTGGGAGGGGATAGATTGTTACGAAGGATAAATAAAGTTGCAAATATTTTTTAAATGGATTAATTAATTTCAATAACTCATTTATTTATTCAAAACAGCGTGCTACAGAAAGAAAATCTGAGCATCCTGGGTTTTCAAACAATGAGTATGTGTCAATTTTTACAACGTTTTTCTCTGCTAACAGTTTTAACACCTGATTTGCCACATTGCCTTAAAAAAAAAAAACCTATAGAATTGAAAAGATATGAAAGAGTATTGCCCTCACCCCAGTCCCAGCCCCTCAGTCCCTCTCCCTGGAGGCGGTCAGAATTACCAGGTTAGGTCACAAGCACTGTAGCTTCTTTTCGGAATCCTTGCTACTAAAGTTTAGAATTGAAGCTTGGCAAGAAACTTCTCTGACTTTCACTGAAATCCTCTGGAAAGAATTCCCGTGAGATCTCTAACCTCCTAATTGCTAAGTGTCACTGGCCTCTAAGCACTTTAGTGCTGAGTTAGGTGTTATGTGATGAGACGTGTCTTTTCAAGTCCTTCCTGTGTGCTCCTTCCATCACCCCGCTTCCTCCTCGGCTCCCTGCTCTTCTTCCCCATCAGCCTTTTCGTGGGGAGTCCCACCTGTTACATCCCATAGGCCCGTAACTCCCAAATCTTACTTTTTAAAAGCCAACCTGAAAACAAACAAACAAACAAACAAACAAACAAAACCTAACCTGACATTTCTCTACATTTTAACAAGGTTGTTTAGACCATTAACATTTATTGCAATTATTGACGCAGTTGGATTTAAATCCGACCTCTTGTTTTCTGTTCGTTGCATCTGTTCTTTGCTCCCTTTTCTCTTTTCTTCTGCTTCCTGTTGGACCAAGTGCTTTTTATTATTCCATTATGTCTCCTGTGTTGGCTTATTAGCTATAGCTCTTTGTTTCATTTTTAGTTGTTACTTTAGGATTCACATTACAGATCTTCAAAGTATCTCAGTCTCTCTTCTAGTGACATTATGCCGCTTCACCTCTAGGATAAGAAACTTACAAAATATGCGTCCATTTCTCCTCTCTCGACGCTTGAGCTATCGTGGGCGTACATTTGACTAATATATATGTGATAAACCTTGCAATACATTGTCACTGTGTTTGCTCTAAACGGACGATTCTCTTTTTTGGTAGCAACTTTATTGAGAGATCGATGGTTTTTAGTAGATTCACAGAGTATATTTCGTATGTTATGCAGTCATCACCACAATCACTTTTATCACGTTTTTATTACTCCAAAAAGAAACCCCGTTAACCAATACCCTCTCCCACCCCAACTTCCTACTTCTGTCACCTGCTTCCATCCTGAGACACACACTAAATTACGTTCTGTCTTGATAGATTTGCCTATTCTGGATATTTCATAGAAATGAAATTATGTAATATGCGGCCAGGGGCTCCGTGGTCCCACCCCACCTCGCTCCTGGACCACGGCCACGGCTTCCCCCCTGGCTGCCCTGCTTTCTTCCCCTCCACTGCCCTGTGCTCTGTGTGTTGTCACGAAGCAGCCGGAGGGATCATCCGTCTCTGCCATTCTCTCTCTATTCCCCGTCTCCCTGTTGGTACCGCCATTCATGCACGTTAGAAAAGTCTGAAATCGGCCACAAATTCTTCCTGTCATTCTCAGTCTGCATCTAATTTGTCACCCAGTTCTGCTTTCACTTTTCGAAGGGTTCTGGGATCATTCTCTCCCACTACTGTCTTGGTTCACCTCATCCTCGTTTTTAACTCCTGAGCAAGTACAGTAGCCCTGTAACTTGTTACCTGCTCCTCATCTCTCCTGCTCCTGTTCCATTTTCCATATTTTTGCCAATTGTCTTTGCAATGTCTATATCCAATCACATCGCTTCTGTCTAAATAAACACCTGTTTCCTCCCAGTGCACGCAAACCAGACTTCTTAACCAGCCCGTAGAGCTCACTGTTTTTTGTACTCCGTCTTTCTATTCCTCTCTAGACAATCTGGAACCAATAAACAAAACCACACCATGCTCTCATACCTCCCTCCCGCTTTGAGCAAGCTATGCTTTCTGCCTTCAATTACTTTTTCTATGCCTGGTAAACTCCTACTTATTCATCAAAGCCCAATTTAAGTGGCCCCTTCAGGCAAGCCTCTTCTGATGTACAAGCCTCTTCTGAATAACCAGGGATGGCTGGTTATTCCTTTTTCTTTGGTTCCATTTCACCTTACGACATACTCAGTTATTGTCTATACCTCTGTGTGGGCCTTACAAGTTTTCACTTCTGTCTGCCTTTCACACTGTGAGCTGTTCCAAAGGAGGAACTTGATCTTATAATGTTAGTTTCCCGGATTCTGTTTTAGGTACTCAGCTGGTACTTACAGAGGATAAAAAGTTGTCCTATATGATAATGGCTTTTATTATGAAGAGATTGTTCTATATCGTGATCAGTCATTTATATAGCCCAAGAAGTCTTTTATTTACCTAGCTCTCCCGCTAAATATGTAATATTTGGTATTTCATTTCAGATGTGAGATGGAAAAACAAATTCTGGGGCAAATCCATGGAAATCGTTCCCATTGGCACAACCCACGTGACTCTGCCAGCGTAAGTTCTGTCAGGAACTTTATAGAATTTAGGGCCACGATGCAGCTTTAGGATGGGGATGCCCATTGTCCCCCAAGGCATTGTGCATATGCACTTTTCCTTTAATCTGTTTGATGATTGATAGGTCCAAATGTTCCTCATTTTGACAACCTCACATCTTCTTTCCCGCAAATAAAAATGCTTCCTGGAGGCCAAAGTTTCCTGCTTTGTAACAAAATTAAGAATCGTGGTTTTCCTTTCACATTGTCCTGCCTCACCGTCCAAATACCTTTTAAGAAAGATATGGCCTTGACCTTTCAGGGATTATCGATACTTATTCATAAAGCAAATGGTTATGAACGTAGCCTCTGGACCTGGGCTACCAGGACTCAGGTGCTCACTCTACTTCTTACTAATTGCAAGTCCTTGGGAGGTTACTTAACCTTTCTGATCACCAGTACCCTCTTCTATAACATAGGAATAACAAGCCATGTACTTTGTAGGACTGTTTTGAAGATTTAACAGAGAATATATGCCAAACACATAAAATAATACTTGGCACATAGCATGTGCCATGTAAGTGTTTGGTCTTATTACTATTATCCTTATAATTATTATTAAACTCCGTAAGTAGTATCTGAATACTTTC